AGACATATTGGCCAGTCTTGCTGTTTATTTACATATGGTGTATTTTCCATATTAAAATGACGGTGTGGAATTGTTGTGGCAGGTGGTATGCCTTGCAAGGCTGAAAACCCTGACAGATGCTTAAAAGGCAAAGTTTGCTAAGGTTCAGTGTGGCCCCGCCTCACTTGGGAACCTGTTAGCAACGCAGCTCTTCAGTTGTAAGGGCGGGGGGGGGGGGTACTTTGAGTTCTGCAGACCTTACCTGAGGCTCAGGGCCACAGTGGTCGCCACCTGATGTGAAACATAGTTTCAGGCCATTGTGTTGTGGTTAGCTGCCTGGGAGTTTCCTGTCGACTTGCAGAGACCCCGTGCACGGAGCTGCTCGTGGACGCTAGGACCCATGGGGACCCTAGGACCCATGGGCTTCTCAGAGGTCCTTCATCCTTCAGCTCTGAGGTGGTTCCTCCCATCACTGGCTGCACAGTCCACACCCCACGAGGGACTTCGTTCCTGCCGCAAGGGAATGGACAGTACCTAGCACCTTGTCTAAGGAGCCCTGTGGTTTAGTGGCTAAAGTTCTCAAGAGAGGGTCAGCAGTTTGAGCCCACCAGCCGATCCGTGGGAGGACAGTGTGTGGTCCTCTATAAAGATTTAGAGCCTCGGAACCCGCCTGGACGATTCTGCTCTGACAGGGTCGCGGTGAGCCAGAGTCGACGTGACAAGACTGTGGGTTTTTTGGTTTTAGCACCTTGTCTGTCAGGCAGGCTGAGCAGACAGCGGGCGAATGAGTATGAAAAGGGTAACTGTTCACCAGCTCCGTCTGCCGAGGGGCCTGGGAGGGCAGTGCCCGGCCCGCAGGCCTTTCCCAGACCCCTGAGAGCTTTATCACAGAGACCCCAGGCCTGTCTGTGGGCCTGTCACATGAAGGCTGTTTAAAGGATAACATGCTAAGAACAGGTCAAAGAGTCTGATCAGAAAGTCGACTGGGGGAGCCTAGGACTTGGCCTCATTCCTGCCTTTTGTGCTTAAAAAAAATAATAAATTGGTGTTTAGCAGTGTAAGAAGGATGGATGCATTTGTATCATGGTGTTGATGAAGTGCTGAACGTAACATGAGCTGCCCAAAGAATGAATCAGTTGGTCTCTGAAGGAGTATTACTAGAACATTTCATAGCAGTGGGGAGGGTAAGCCTTCATCTCACGTACGTTGGACCTCTTCTCAGGAGGGACCAGTCCTTGGAGAAGGACATCGTGCTTGGTAAAGGTCAGCCCCAAAGAGACTCACACAGTGGCTGCAGCAAAGGGTTCAGAATATCAGCGATGGTGAGGTGGCACAGGACTGGGCAGCGTCTGGTCTGTTGCGCGTGTTCTTGTTGTTAGATGCCGTCAAGTACATCTCCTAGCGACCTTGTGAACGACTGACCTGAGCCCTGCCCTCTCCTGTGCCAGTCTCACAAGCTCTGACAAACACAGGCGTCTTGCTGCAGCTGCTGTGTCCATCCTCCTGGTTGAGGGTCTTCCTCTCTTTAGCTGATCATCCACTGTCCCACGCATGATGTCCCTCTCCAAGGAATAGTCTCTCGTAGCAACATGCCCCAAGTATGTGAGACAAAGCTCTATCATCTTTGCCTTCAAAGAGCTCTATGGCTGCACCTTCTCCAAGACATACCTGTCTGTTCATTGGCCATCCACGGGGTACTCAGTACTTTCCTCCAGCACCACTACTCAAAGACATCGACTCTTCTTCTGTCATCCTTATTCATTGCCCAGCTCTCAGCACCATCATGCTTGACCGAGACCTTGGCCTGAATCAGGTGCACCTTAGAGTTTACAGCGCACCATGCTCTTTCGTGTTGTGTGTGCGGCCCCTGTAAGTCAGAACCGACAAGCTGGCCTAACAGTAATCAAGAATGAAATAAAAATGGCTGTTGACTCGATTAAGTGTCTAGTCTCAGGATGCAGGCCATGCAGCAGAAGGCATGCCGGGCTAGGAAGGCTGGGTGTGGTCTTGGCCAAGCTGATTGTGTGCACATCGCGTAGGTTATTACTTTACCTTTAGCCTCCTGTAAACGGAGATTTCATGGTGTTTGTCCAGCAAGGATGGCACAAAGATTGTACTTTGAATTGCTCATGCTATTTATGGATGAATTATCCAAGTACATAATCCATAAACATCTAAATTTCTCACCAATGGCTGTAGTGAACATGTCTTACATTGTTGCAAACTTCATTAGAGAAGGAAGGTACATCATTTATAAAAGACACTGTTATCACTGTTATGTGCCGTTGCGTCGCCTGCGACTCATAGCGACCCTATGTACAGCAGCTCTCTCGTCTGCCCTGTCCTGAGCTGGTCTCACTGACTCCAACACACCAAACCCCACTGCCCCAGTTACTGTATCAATCCATCTCATCTGGGGTCTTCCTCTCCTGCGCTGTCCCTTCACCTTTCACTGTCCCTCCACCCTTTTGAGCATGATGTCCTTCTCCAAGGACAAATCCTTCCAGCCACGAGCCCAAAGAGGGTGAGACGGAGCTTCAGAATCCTAGTCTCCAAGAAGAAACGTGGTTTCACCCTCTCCGAGATAGACCTATTGGTTTTCTTGGCAGTCCATGTCTTGGTGGTTCAAGACCCTTCTCCATCCCCACAACTCAAAGGCATGGATTCTTCTCTGTCACTCTTTAGGAAGGAGTAAATTTTGTTTATGGTGATGGGATTGTGGGTTCTAGTTGAACAGAAGCTACACCTGATGCCGTTGCCACCTTTTTCCATTTCAGCGTTTTTCAAGTAAACAGTTTAGTGATATCATCGCATTAATCAGGTACATGCATTTAATCCTACCTACATACTTTGGGTATGTTGCCAGGAAGGGCTATTCCTTAGAGAGGGACGTGATGCTAGGAAGAGTGGAGGGTCGGCGGAGGAGAGGTCGACCCTCGACCAGGTAGATTGACACAGTGATTGCCGCTGTGGGCTCTAGTGTGTCAGGAAGTGTGAAGATGGCAGGGGCAGGAAGGGGTTCAGATCCACTACTGTTCACGGGGTTGCTATGAGTTGTACTCATTGGCACCTAATAATAACACCACTCCCCACATGACAGAAGAAGAATGGATGTGTGTTGGAGAAGAGTGCTGAAAATCCCGTGGACTGCCAATAAACAAACAGATATGACTTGGAGAAGATGCACCCAGAGCGCTCCTTGGAGGCAAAGATGGTGAAGCTTCATCTCACAGACTTTGGACATGTTCCCTGGAGGAGCTGTTCCTTGGAGAGGGACAACAGGCCTGGAAAGGTGGAGGGTTAGCGGAAGAGAGGAAGACCCTCAAGCAGATGGACAGACACAGTGACTACAGCCGTGTATCAGAGATTGTGGAGCTGACACAGGACAGGGCACGGTTCAGATCTGTTGTTCATAGGTGTGTTGTCGCTATGAATTGTATTCGACTCGATGGCAACCGTCCAACAAGAATTGCTTTTCCAGTGCAGTGAATTTCGCTGATGGATTTTACATGTTGTGTTCCAAACGATGATGGAGACTTGGAAAGGTGCCCGAAGAGCTTTCTGGGTTTTCTTTGCCCTCTGTATCTTCGGCTTGGAATGAAGATGAAGACACAGGCAGTTGCTTTTCCAGGTGGGGCTGTGGACTGCTGCGGCCGCTGCTCTGTCCTCACTCCCACCCTGAGCGTGTTCTGTGCGATGGCTAAGCAGCCTTACCTTTTTCACCCAGTGGCTGCGATA